CCGAACCATCTGTAGCTGTGACATGCTGCAAAATATAGGCGAAACACGTGTCTGTTATTTTAGCTAGTACTTGTGCTGCTAGTATGGTATCTTGTAACGCCAAAATATTGGAGTAGACTTCCTACTGATGGTACAAGGACTGGTAGTAGTAATGGTAGCTGAGGTTGAAAAGGCTCCAGAAGTGTTCTCACTAGTGCTATTCTCCAGACCAATCCACCTTGGCCGCGGTCCACCCAGGCCTACGTTAATTTGTAGATTATAGAGGAAAAGATTCGGATTGTTGTGTCATCATCATTTGTGTCTTGAAGAAGGAGACACGATCGCTGGGGCCAGAGCTTTATTAGACTGACGTTTCGGATTCCTGCTCGAACCCATCATCTGAGACAAAAGTAGACACGAGTGCTTTATGCGCAAGGGGCTGCAGTATTTATAGGATGCAGTCGGCATACTACCGCATACCTATGAATATTCACCCCCCCCCTTTTTCATCAGGAATCGTTGCACTTGTTGTGTTGACTGTTTCATGACTGTTTCACGTAACCGCACATGTCAACTCTACGCCTCACGTTTAAGCAGTCACGTTTGGAAGGGGATAAACAGCTGGTCTCCTGCCGGGCAGATATTTATTCGCACTGTTGTTTACTTTGTCAAGGGAGTCTCCGCCTGTCAAGTCAGCGTGTTGGCAGCCAAGTATAGTCGTATACGATGCTGCCCCCAGATTCACCCGTTTGTTTCTATCCACCTTTTTTCCTTTTGTTCCTTTTTTTCTGCAAATGTCTTTACATTTTCTCGGTTTACTTATGTTTCTGACGTTTTCAATGGCATGTTGGTTGAAGTGTTGGACTGCGGATTCAGTTAGGAAAGATTACTTAAATAAGAATGTAAAGCTAAGTAGTTGGCCTAGAGGTATGTAATACGGGCAGTTATGCTGAATTTTAATGCGTCTTTTTCCGGTACTTGGGAAAACGACAATCGCTAATAAGCATCTACTTAGCTAGTCCAATTTTTGCATTTATTTTCGATGACTTTACTAATTTAAGCATAACTCGCTCGACGTACGTACAAGCATATCTTTCCTCATTCTCAGCTTGTAATATATAGCGTGTCGTTCAAATTTTAAATTTGATCAAGCGATGTCATATGGTTTTGAAATGCTTTCAGCTTAGAGTAACTCTGAGACCGTTTAACTGTTATTCAAGTGGTGACCTATCTTCACGTCCATTGTTACTGCCTCCGGGGTATGAAACGTTATCAATTCTGTAGCCGCGCCAGCGCCCCATTTTCCAGCGTGACTAATCACCCTTGACCTTTCGTCATTTGTGAACATGCGCCTCAGACCCGGACTGCGTAATAATCAGTCCGCTGAGCAAAACTCACATAATCACTTTGTCATGCTGGTGAATACAAGTCAC